CGAGCCCGGAGTCATCCCCTGCGCGGGCCGCGGGCGCAGCGGCGGGCGCTCGGAAGGCCGGCCCGCGGCCCGCGCTCCATGCCGCTTGCGCTGTGCTGGGCGGGCGCTGTCCGGGCGCCGCCGGGCGCTCCCGCGCCTTCCTGGGCGAGCCGCGAGTCTCCGCGCGCAACTTTCTCGGCCCCTCTCTGCTGGCGGTGGGGGTCGCGGCGGGCGCTGCTAGTGCGCGGGTCGCAGCTCTCTCATTGTGCGCCAGCGAGGCCGACCGGGCTGTCCTTTCCTCCCCGCACTTAGTCTAGGAGGAAGAAAGCAAACAAGACAGGAGTGAAGCCCCTGTACATACATGCGCCGGGGGAGATGTCAGCGCCGCTCCACCTTCCAAACAGTCACAGATCAAACAGTGTCACCCGCCGGAGCGCCACTTCGTGCCCCGCGCTGCCCCCGGGGGGCCGGGCCGCCAGGATCGCCGCTTCTTCCGAGGAGAAATCTAATGCAAACACATTTTGATCGTGGATTTTTTTGGCCGGTCTTGATCCTCCAACAGAAAAAAAAAATCGAAAAACACACACAAAAAAACCCCACACACACCCTCCAAAAAAAATAAACCAACAACAACCCGGAGAGTGTGCACCGAGGGGGTGAAGAACGGACATTCACTGGGTGGGCGAGATGAGCGTGTACTGTCCCCCCCAAACTCCTGGGAGAGAGGAGATGCGCTCTCCCTCTCTCCTCTTTTCAGTGAAATATAACACACATTCGGATCGCAGAGCTTTCAGACAGTCTCAACTGATAGACAGACACATCGAGCTGCTTTCCTGCCTCACTTTTTACTCCTCCTCCTCTCGCCAACGTCACCCTGACAATTACAAATAGGTCTCACACAAACCATACCTGTCAATCTTTTTAATTGCTTTGTTTTCTTTTATTTTTTTTCGGAGCTAAACAATATGACACAGAAAAGAAATCTTAATACAGCATAACATAAAAGATTGCACGTTGCAGGAAGACATTCAGGGGGCTGCGTTGTAATGCACTGGCTGATCTCGGGCGGAACCCATGAGTCCTAAGTCTAGTTAGGCAGACATCAGTTCCTGCAGATCCTTAAACCTGTTAGCTCCCCTCCCCCGCGTGTACATGCATACACACGCGCCCACGTGGATCTGAACCACTCTTGGGTGAAACACGTCCTACATTTGAGGAAAAAAAATACCTGTTTCACTTTTGCACCCTTAGTCTGGGGGGGGTTAGATTTGATTGGTGACAGTTGTAGCTTTTGTATTTCTGCAACTCAGAGGTTAAACTGAAAACAGGAGATATTTTTAAATGAAAATGAACACCTAAAATATAAAGATGGACTTAGCTCATCACAAAAATGTCCGGAAATATTTAATGTTGACCCTATTTAAAAGGGTGAGTAATTTGGTCAGTCATTGGTCAGTGAACACAATTAGCTAAAAATTGGCACGATAGAAAGATCTTTCCAGATGCGTGAGAAAATGAAGTCTTCAAAGATCATCACAAAGTCTCCAATTCCGCTGAGCCCCTCGGCGGGCCCCACCTAGAACTTTAAAATGCTTCTGCGCTCTGGGAATTCGCCCATCTAGTTCTGTATGTGTGTTCTCTCCCAGTGGGAAAGCTGTAACAGTCTTGTGGAGCTACTTAAAACATCCATGGAAAAACACGAAATCTAGGCCAAGATAAATAAAATGGCTTAGTTCGTGCAACTTACACGGGACAGACCGAGAGCACAGGCGCGAGCGGCGCGCTCGAAGCACGGGAGGCCTAGGCCCAGGGTACACCGTGCACTGAGCGCCCATGGCCCGCAGGAAGGCGCTCGTGCGCGTGCACCAGCGCCCGGGCTCCCCGCCCGGCCCAGGCCCCGGCCCCGGCCGTGCCCCGCCGCCCCGGCCGCGCTCGGGGTTGATTCGTACCACCTTGCAAGGAAGTGAACGCTTCGCACGGGAAGGGGAGGCGCCTGCGCCGGCCGCCGCTCGGGGACGCTTGGGCTACGGCGGCGGCGATCGCCAGGGCTCTGGCCCTTTAGCTTGGCGCCCCCCGCCCCCGGTGGAGGAATCAAATCCCTTCGCAGAGCGTGCGGAGGGTGGGGATATCCGGGGCCTCTCCCGCGCCCGGAGGAAAGGGGAGGGCGGAGGAGATCCTAGGCCAGTGTGAGTCGAGCGGATTCAAACCAAAACAAAAAGATTAAAGGAGCAGCGGCTGCGGCAGCCTCGGGGCCGGGCAGGGATCCTAGGGTGGCGCACCCGGGTTCCGCGGGGGCTGCGGCGCGCGGCGGGGCCGGAGGGCGGGGGCGGGAGCGGGAGCCAGGCGGCGAGGGGAGGGCGGGAGCCTAGGGGAGGGCGCGGGCCGGAGGAGGGGCGGGCCCGCCCGCGCGGAGCCGAGCGGAGCCAAGCGGCCCGGACTGGGCGCGACCCGGCCCAGTGTAGGCACAGGAGCGGGCGGAGCCGATCGCCGGCAATGCTGAGGCTGACGGCCGCCGGGGCCCGAGCCATCGTGGACATGTCGTACGCCCGTCACTTCCTGGACTTCCAGGGCTCCGCCATCCCCCGAACCATGCAGAAGCTGGTGGTGACCCGGCTGAGCCCTAACTTCCACGAGGCCGTCACCCTGCGCCGGGACTGCCCAGTGCCGCTCCCCGGGGACGGAGACCTCCTCGTCCGGAACCGGTGAGCCCGGCGCGCGACCCCGTCCCGGTCCCCGGCCCGCGCAGCTGGGCTCCCGGCTGTCCCGGGTCGCCCGCCTGCCCACACTGCGGCGCGCGCTTGGGCGCACAGCCTGACTTTTCGAGATCCCAGGAAGTTGAACCCGCCGCCATCTGGCGAAGGCGAATGTAATGTGACTTGCTGGTGTGAATACCCGATGCCACCAAACGTCCTCTTATCTGGGGGTTATTTTAATTTGGGATTCTCCCCTCCCCCAGCCGTCCCTCCTCCCCCTCCCGCTCCCTAAATAAAAACGACGGGACCTAGAAAGGGAGGTTCCCCACCCGGCCCACCCGCGCGCACCCACGGTTCCTGCGTCCTATAATTTTTAGTGGAGCAGCAAGAGCCTGGACACACACTGCTGCGACGTTTAGGTAAACGTGCTTTGGAGGAAGGGGCCCAAGTTCGGTTTGCTTTTTCCTGTCTCCTCTATCTCGTATTGGTGGAGCTTGTCCTTGGGTGTATTGGTGTGCACCTAGTTCGCGTGTTGCCAGTGCCATTTGACTGTGCTATGTCCCCTGAGTGCAAAACGGGGGCGTGCACCGGCAATTGAGCCAAGGTTGGGCGGGGGCATGGCTGCATTTGCCTGAATGCGTTGCAGACATTCGGGTGGCACACTCACTAGTTGTTGCCAGACCTGACTGTTCCACCCCAGGCTTTCCACCTTAATGATTTTCCACATCGCTAATCTTTATTAAGGGGTGAAGCGGAGGAAGTGTGGGACTTCACTGTGCTCAATCCAGGTCATACCACACTGAGGTTTGCTGGGAGCATCCTCTCAATGCTGGACTGTCAGGGAGTACTCCTCTGTGGCATTTCACTTACTGGGTTCCATTCGAAGGTCCCAGCATGGAGTATTGGAAATTAGATAAAATTACGGAAGAGTGGGCGGGAGGGTTAGTTCTGGTTGTATCCAAGCGGTAAATTCTGTACCAGAAAGTATCCTAGGTCCCCCGGAAGGGCTAAATGATGAAATTTATCTACTCAAGTATCTGGGTGCGAAGGTTAATCAAATCAGACCAGTTTAAAGATCCCTACCAACTTTCCAGAGAAGACTGTAGGAATGAAGAATTCTGATGGTGAAACTTTTGGGAACCTGTTGGAACCTTAGCGTTTGGGTGAGCAGTGGGTGGATGGGAGTGGAGTGCGTGGGTGGAGACTTTTTTAAAGGGTGGCGCATGTACGTCCTTAACACGCTTTGGCCGCGCATGTAGCAGAGGATTGCTACACCATGTGATGAAACGCCGAGGCTGTGGAGAAGAAAAATTTGAACCCTGCCGACCTAAAAAGGGCTTGAGCTGCGTTCACATAGAACATCCGGAGCACACCAGTGATTTGTTAGAAGTGGAGAGGAGAATGGGCTGAAAGGCTTTCTAAGCAAACTTCATAGGAGATTTTAAAAAAAAGGCTCCATGCCCGGCTTTCACTTTCTTTTATTGTTGTGATTTATATAGTGTTGACTGTAAACACTAATAAACGAACACAAACTGCTTACATAAAATCCCTCGTTGAAATAGGTGTGAAGTGTGGAGTGGGTGCCACCAGGGGACAGGCTGAGAGAAGGTGTGAAGTGGGAGAAGAGTACGGGCCGACATCGAGGTGGGGCTCCCGCCGCGGGTGGAGGCTGCTCGTTTTGCCGGTCTGGGGGCCTCTAACCCTTGAGTTTGTTTAACTCTTGGAGATCTCCCCCACTCCTCTCTCCTCCCAAAGCTTATTGGGTCCAGCAGGCTTCTTTTCCCCTTCTCCAAAAGTCTCGAAGCAACACCCCTGGATGCCCCAGGTCATCTTGGTTGGTCTGGAATTGGATGCTTCTTGGATCCCTGAAATCAGATTGCCGAAGAATAGACTACCATTTTGGAGGAATTAGCTGTTCAGATGGTTTTAAAAATCCACGGCTCTATTTTGCTTCCCTGTCTGCCTGGAGCCCCTTTGGCACAAGTGCTTTATAGGAACAACTTGACCTCTAACTTCTACCTCAAATCCACAAAAGGGGAAAATGCAGGCAGAATCTTTGCCTCTCCCGTTGCTGTTCAGTTATGAGGTCATTCAACTGTAGGCAGATCCTTTATTCTTATGAACACTGTCAGTGTTTTTCCCTGTTTTATTTTATTTTAAGGAGCAGAGTTTAATAATTAACCGCAAGTTAGTTCATTTGAATCCAGGGCCCATATCCTCCTAAGTATAATGCTAATTACATTAGAATTTTATTCAGAGGCTCCGTGTTTTTAGCATAACAAAATCTCCCCTGGAATGAGTGGAATAAGCCCAAATTCATTTATTTTGAAGGGTGTTTGGAGCTTTTAATTGTGCTCAGTCCTCTGACTTTCTTTCAGTAAACTATATCCACACCTCATTCCTGTTAGCAAAATGCATTCCTTCATTCACAAGAAGGGCAGCGCGTGCAAGCTAGACATAGATTCAGGACAGTAAAGTTTACAATGGCAGAAAAATGTGTGGAGGATGCACAGAACTCCTCCTGAATCAGTAATTGATGTTACTTTATCAGCCATTACCTACTGTCCCGCGCCCCCACCCCCACCCCCGCTCAGCCCTCGGAAAAGAAAAAGAGACAGATACCGCTGGTCAAGTCCGCTTGTGTGCTATTTTTGGCTTTTTCGTGAGAGTGACAGGTTATTTTTCGTTTCCAAATATTCCTAACGATTTTCTGCTCAAGTGTAAGATAATGCAAAGAGTTTGTAGAAATTGCTGTGAGTGGTGGGGGGAAGGGAGGCGTCGTGATGAACGATGTGTTGCTCACAGGCGGGTAAAACATTTCTGTTCAGTCTCCAAGCCGAGATATTATACACACACACACACACACACACCTCATCTGCTACAACTATTACTAGTTGTTGTTTCTCTTCTTCTTCCTCTTCCTCTTCTTCCTCTTCTTCTCCTTCTTCTGTCTTCTGTTTGTTTGTTTTTCAAGGAAAGTCTGGGTTAAATGACTTTGTTTTGTCTCCCAGTTTTCAAGGCTCTTCCTGTGGTCCTAAGTTTTTCTGTTTGGTGTTTGTTCAGACGAAAACTTCCCCACTCCCCACCCCATCACCCTGTTCTACAATAAACGAAGCTCACCACTTTCCGGTGTAAATAACCAAGCAGCTTTAGAAGGACTTGTATTTGGGAAACGCCTGCCTGCCGTGGTCTCACTTGGTTTTCGTGGGGTGCCTAGACTTAAGTTTTCATAGTGCATACTTTTCTCAAGTTGTCAGGGTCCTGTGGTCATTACTGTCACACATTTTCAATTACGGAGGAAGTGGGTACAGGGAGGGTCTCCAAGTGCATCAGCGCATTTCTTGTTTTGGTTTGGTTTTTCTGTGGCTCGCCTTTCTTCCTTCCTCTTCCCTTTTGAGCCCTCTGCCCTTGAACTTGGTTCTTGAGGAGCGGATAGGCTTGCACAGCTAAAGCTCGGGTAAAGACCAAGGTGCGTCCCAGGCGGTGGCGGGTGCCCAGCACCGCGGCAGGGACACAGTGTCAGGACGGAGGTACTAGGTAGAGACAGGGCTCCCGGCACTATGGACATAAAGACCCTGGAGGGGGGCAGGAGAACAGAAGACAGACTTATATAGGGAGTAGTTGGAACTGCTCCCCGACGACGAGGATAGATTAGAAGAGGGCAAGGTTAGGGTGGTGGTAAATGGAGGTGCATGAGGGTCAAGGTCATGATTTGGCAGGTTTCACTCTGTATGGCTTTTCTGGGACTCGGAAGAGCACGTTCGTGGGGCCCAGAGCCTAGCAAATTCATCTCGCCCCTGGACATGGTCATTGATGTCTCTCCCGATGGTGGCAATGGAAAGGCCCGGGTTCCCTGTGCAGACCCGACCCGAAGCGCCCCAGTGTATTGCGCGGCTTTCTGGCCAGGGCGCTACAGGGCTGATGCATGCAGGAAGAGGCTCTCAGGCCTGCGGGTCAGCGCCACCTCACCAGTGCTTGCTGATGCTGATCGCCACAGTGACTGCTGTGGTGTTTTCTGCCCAAGCCTCTGCGAGCCATCAGCAACCACTCCAGCAGAGCCACACTCTCTCACCCCTCCAAACTTGGCCTCAGCTGCCCCCTTCCGCCAGTATGCCCTGCTAGGTCTCCATCTCTTTCAGGGGAAAAAAGCGACAGCCAGAGGGAGGGGGAGATGGAGGGTTTGAGAGGGACTTTACAGTCTCAGTCCAGTTTATCCTACCCACCCCACACACTGGGCCACATCACAGGGCCTGGCTGTCCCCAGCTTCTCTAGAAGCCAGACTCAGGGCTCCCGGGAGGAGAGCGGCCCCAATGGACCTCGAGACTCCAAATGAACACAGCCTGGAGGGGGAACAGGAAGAGTTAACTATGAGTAGAGAAGGCACAACTGGCCTTTGGTCTCTGTTCCCCAACCACTAAGCAAACCCAGCCCTAAGATCATTTCCAGCCTAGCTGGCTTTTTCTCCTGGAGCTGGCTTTTCTGCTGGGTGAAGGAACAAGGGACATGAGATGCCTTGCAGTCTAGCTCTAGTGGGCTGGCCCTGGGAGCTCCAGAATCAAGATCTAGTGAGCCAGCCCTTTTTAGAAAGGTCAGGTCTGGAGAAGTGTGTAAATTAAAAGGAAAATGATAAGACACAGCTCTCCTACCCCTTCTCCAATTAATTAATTAATTAATTATTGGCGTTTTGGTATTCAAAAATAAACAAACAAAACTAGTTTCCCCATTTTTCATTATTTTGTTTTATCTGTGGCTACAGAAAGCAGAATTTACAGAAATATTGGAGCCATGGTAAGCTGGCTTCTGAAAGCAACTTGGAGGGAGGCTGTTTCAAGTGTCCTTATTTCCACAATCTAGAAAGATGGTTCTTTATGGTAGAATACTTGTGAGGAACCATTTGGAAGTGCAGGGTATTATCTATAGACCATGAAGGTGTGTCCTACTTGTAGTTTGTGTTCATTAAATTAAAAGTGAATTCTTTTTATCTTTTCTCCTGCCATGTTTTCATTTTTTTTTATGGGAGGAAATGGTATTTTGGGATCCTTATGTGTTAGAGTTCCCTCAACATCCTTAGAAGATAGCCACAACTCCACCATGGAGATATTTTTGTTATGAGGTATACTGGGGTACAAAGAAAAGCTGGTAAAATTCTGGCTTCACAGTTAAAGTGAGCCAGGATACAAAACGAAACTGGTCATCTGCTATTAATCAGGCCACGTCTCTGCTTCTTGTTGAGGAGAATACAGTGAGGGCTTGCTTCCCTTTTCATCTGAAAGAGGCTGTAAAATGCTGAATGCTGCATAAAAATCACTCTCCTCAGTTTTTGTTCAATTAATCAAAATGCATATGTTCATGCTGGGCATAGTTATATCAGAAAATTTGCTGCGGCGTTTCAAACAACTGGGGCAGTAACATGCCGCAAGAACGACCTTCCACGCCCATCAATCTTTAATAATATCATTGTCATTACTATTATTATCTGAAGTGTTAAATTGTTACCAGAATCAATACAAGTGTGCTTCCTCGGGTGTATTGTATCCCACTGTTGTTTTTAACATCTCTGTTAAGAGACCAATTAATTTCCAGCTCAGAGCTTCAGTGAACTTTGTGTGTCGTGATAGCTTCCTGGCTTGCCCCCCCCCCCCCCACGACTTTCCCTTATTTCTCCTTTTGAAAGAGGACAGAAGAAAAGTGGTACAGGAAATACTAATACGTCCATCACTTGATGATTAAAATAATATGAAATTATTTCTATCTATAAAGGAACAAAATCTGCCCAAACTGGAGTTAATACATTTGTAGGAATTCTCCCTCGCTCCTAAGTAGCAAGAATCATTTTCCCTCGGCATTCTGTCAAGTCTAACAGTTAGGAGCTGTTCACATTCAGAGATTAGATTGGCCTTTTTTCCTTAAGCAGAATATGAAAGTCGTTAACAAAGAAAGAATCTTAATATATTCATTTGTTTTCTTCTAGATTCGTTGGTATTAACGCATCTGACATCAACTATTCAGCTGGCCGCTACGACCCATCTGTGAAGCCCCCCTTTGACATAGGTTTTGAAGGGATTGGTGAGGTGGTGGCCTTAGGCCTCTCTGCCAGTGCTAGATACACAGTGGGCCAGCCTGTGGCTTATGTGGCTCCTGGTTCCTTTGCTGAGTATACAGTGGTGCCTGCTAGCATTGCAATTCCCGTGCCTTCAGTGAAACCTGAGTATCTCACCATGCTGGTTAGTGGCACCACTGCATACATCAGTCTGAAAGAGCTTGGAGAGTTGTCAGAAGGGAAGAAAGTTCTGGTTACAGCAGCTGCTGGGGGCACAGGCCAGTTTGCTGTGCAGCTTTCAAAGATAGCCAAGTGCCACGTTATCGGAACCTGCTCCTCAGATGAAAAGTCAGCTTTTCTGAAATCTGTGGGGTGCGATCGGCCCATCAACTACAGAACAGAGCCTGTGGAGACAGTTCTGAAGCAGGAGTACCCTGAAGGTGTTGATGTAGTCTATGAGTCTGTTGGGGGAACCATGTTTGACCTGGCTGTCGATGCCTTGGCCACCAATGGGCGCTTGATAATAATTGGGTTTATCTCTGGCTATCAAAGTCCTACAGGACTTTCACCAGTAAAAGCGGGAGCTTTGCCAGCCAAGCTCCTGAAGAAGTCGGCCAGCCTCAGGGGTTTCTTTCTGAACCACTACTTCTCCAAGTACCAGGCTGCCATGGAACACTTGCTGGAGCTGTATACTCGTGGGGACCTGGTGTGTGAAGTGGACCTGGGACATCTGGCTCCTGATGGAAGGTTCATTGGCCTGGAGTCCATATTTCAGGCTGTTGACTATATGTACACAGGGAAAAATATCGGGAAACTTGTTGTTGAATTGCCGCACCCTGTCAGCAGTAAGCTGTGACCACCAGAACAGTGACATAAACCAAAGGAGAGAGATGAATTATCCATACCTTGGAATGAACTTAATATTCCTTAAAAGCAAAAGTGTAGTGTTAATGAATCCCCCCTTCCTTGGGGGTAAAAGTAATGTGCCTCAATAAAAGTTCTCTCTATAGCTAAGAGGTAAAACGTTTACATTCGAGTCTTTAGTCATGGACGGTCTCGTTCCAGATTTTATTGTTCCAGGGAAGTAAATTAATTCCTGATGTGAGACCTGATCGAGTCAGTATGTCCCCATCTTGATGAGATTTTTAAATCAGTCTTCAGATAGCTCACCGAGTCTGCTTTGCATTGGAAGCAGCTGCTCTTGTGTTAAGGACTTAACAGGTGAGAAGGCAGTACTGGCTGGCCTTGTCTTTTCACAGGCAGTATGCTTAGGAAGGAGCCTTTTCCCCCTCTAAATCACTAGCCAACCATCCAAATAGACATTTGGGAGAGAATTCTCCAAATTTAATCTTGTTAAGTTATTGGAAAAGTGATTGAGCAAACAGACGTGTCTTAAGGACGTATATACTGCCTGATGGCCTGAATTCACATCCTGGTTAGACTGTCTGTGAAAAAAAAAAGCTCCTGTTCTAGGAAGAAATTACTATTAGAAACAGAGTAGGTTTTGGAAGAGAAAGCTGTAGCTTGAAAACTAATGTGGACAGAGGAATAAGAAAACTCCGTGCCTCTTCAGTAAAAGGCTCACATAATGCAAATACAGGGATCATAGAAGGGGGCTCACTCTGGCATGTGAAGGGTTAAAAGGAGCACTTCCTGTCCCCAAGGAACAAATGTCACATAGCTCCAAACACAGTAGGCAACCAGGTCATCTAAAACCATATCCATTTGCTTCTCCTCAGAGGCTCGGTGTGGAAAGTGCACTTGGTCTCTGGTGGTAGACATGGAGTGACAGTCAGGTGTCCTGTGTTGCCATTTTTGCTTCTCGGTGTTTGAGAGAAATGAGCCACCTGCTCTAGTGTTGTGTTCTGGTGCACACATGTCTATCACCCCGCCTGCTGCGTCTCTTCACACCACACCATAGCTGGTCTGTTTGCCTTTCACCTTAGGTATCCAAAGGGTGCCTGCCACTTTTGTAGTGGAATCAAAACCCCACAGTGCCTTCCTAATCGAAAGTGAAGGCTGTCGGATTATTTTTCAGTCTTGGGTTTCAGTACATCAAACGTTCTCAATGGATGGGGATGCAATTAGGATCGAGAGAATCGGGGGAGCAGGTTTAATTCTTTCCTTGCATCTGGGGAGCAGAGAGATCCTGTTTCCGAATAGCTGTTAGTATCTATTTTACAAGATTTACTCATTTCCAGGTACCTAATGTAGCTGCTAGCATGCACGCACAACAATACAATTTATATGGTAAATGGAACCAAATAATGGCTTCACTGAATGTTATGGCCGCACTGAAGGGAAATGTCACGGTAAATAGCTGCCAAATTATGGATCATGCCGAAGTGTCACAACTGCACTAAAGACAAATAGCACTAGAGCCTATTGCCACTGTGATGCTTTTGAGTTATGAAGAAGGGTGGCAGTCTGAGCAGAGTTCTTTGTGTCCTCGTCACAGCAGAGGGCTGTCGGTGCAGGGGACAAGAAAGGCTCTTCCAGTGTGGTGCTTAGTTATTAATCTGTCCCTTTTAGGCCTAGCAACTGTAACAGGAGAGACCTCGCTGGCTCTCTTGTATACAAACATAACAAACAGAGGGGAGGGAAGGCTTTATGAATGTCAGTATGCTCAGGAAATGACTGGTAATGGAAAAAATGTTGTAATAAAATAATCTAATCAAAGACTATTATTAAATTTAACATAGTATATGTCTGAAAGGCTTAGTTGCTTGCTATGCAGATAGATGTGTGAAATCTCACTGATAATGCTCTCTCCCTCTGAAAAGGCTTGAGGACTGAGGACATTACCAGCTAAATTGCCTCTTCTGAACTGAAGTGAGTCCCGGTTTCCTTCATTTTAATGGGAGGGTAATAAAGATGAAAGACCAACATTTTGTCTGATGGATCCCTTAAGCTATGGAATAAAAATGTATTATGTTTTGAGGGAATATACTATATTCAGATATGTAAAAGTAAAATTCTCACACCCAGGTTTAAAATAAAACATAAAAAAAAAAAAGACACATGTCTTTCTGTCCCCAGAGAAATTATGGTGCATGCTGTTTTTATTTATTGTTAGAAAACAAGCCCAAGTGATTCTACCCATTCCAACAATGCCAAAAATATGGTTATTTTTTTTAATCTTTTGGAAAATGCTTTTTTTTTTAATTGAGGTCTATAGCTGAGTATCAGTTTTGTTCCCCTTGGATTGTTGTTCAGGACCAGTCCATAGGGGAAGCTGAGGTGCTGTGAGGGTCCACACTCCTCTCTGCCTCCACACACGAAAAAGTGTACATTCATAATTCAGGGGCACTGTCAGCTTTGCTGGAGAGAGAGGAAGAGGGCAGAGCTGTGGTGTGGGATAAAGGACTTCTCAGTTCTTGGTGTGGCCTGTCAGCTTCCTTGGCCCAGCAAGGAAGAAGGCACTGTCTTCTGAGGAAGGCATCCCTATGATGCCTTAGTGTTTGGTCAGGACTTCTAAAAAGTCAAATGGTACCCCCTACCCCCACCCCTTCAAACCTGTTTCAAATGAAAACAAAAAGCACTGACAATATAATTTCTAGTCCTTTTCACAATGACTACAGATGCTGATTGATTTTAGCATTAAAAAAATAATAATAATCCAGGAACTGGTTTGCAAAGAAAGATTGGTTCTTTGTGTTATTGTCTGGTTGCATCAGAACAGAGTTATCGGGAATGGAACAGAGCCCCTGCAGTTGGTGGCTAGTGTTTCATTTATCTAATGCAAGTACGTGAGAAGTCACTGCAGCTTATTAAAGTGGAAGCCTGTACTGCACTCAGGAGCTAATGAGGCTGTAACGTCCCAGTACCACCAACTCCTTTTTTGTGTCTCCACAAGATGCTGGAAACTTGACAGATGATACCATTTAAGACACTGCCTGCCTTAGGGACCTGCTTCTTGGCTTTCTGTTTGGGGTTTTTATTTGGGTAACATTTATAATGGCCACCTGACTTGTACCTGTTATGTCTTAACCCCTTGTGGAACTCTCAGGCCGCATAAATTTACCAGTCAAGGTTCCCTTTAAATTGAGGCTTTGTGCAGAGGACCAAAATGTGTTTTCCTGATGACGCTACCACATGTTCACATGGGGTAGATACCGTATTTCAGATCTTAAAAGTCAGGTGAGCATTGTTCTGCTTTCAAAATAAACTTGATAGGACCTAGGTCTGTCCCCTTGGAATGCTAAGTTCCTAGGTTTTACAAATTGTATAGGGCAGCTCACATGCGAAATGGCCCAATCTTGATACTCATCTCTAACTCCTACGCCCTTAAAAATGCTTTGGTTTTGTAATATTCATTTAAAAATTATATGCAAACTATTAAAATTTCAGTTTAGGGGTTTGTTTTGGGGGGATGTTTTGTTCTGTTTTGGTTTTTATTTGCATGGCTTCTGCAACTAATTTTCCCCCACCGTGGCCTAGAATCCAGTATTTAAATAAGATCGTCCACAGAAGCCAAAGTGCAGAGCTGGATTGCCAGTAACATGGTGCCACTGTACACTTGAAATTCTGTTTTTACTAGCCTTTTAACATCATGTTATCTCAACTCATAGAAGGAAGGATGCTCTGTGAGAACATGACTGCCGTTACCATGAGCCATCTTGGCAAGGTTGCTCCCATCCACCCCTCGCCAAAATAAGTAAATAATAAATAAACCATAGTACACAACACAAAATAATGTCTTACCAGTATATGTCAGTTCAAGAAGTTCTTGTAGGAAAGAGCTGAAATAGGGGGAAAAAAAGTCAAGGGAGATGTATATTTTGATTATGTAAGCTTGAAGCTTCTGTTTAAGACTTGCCTGTAACCCAGCAGCCAGTGAGGCATGCCTGGCATAAGTACCAGGCAATGTTTACTTGGATATGCTGGCTTTGCCCATTGTAGACTTTCCCTTCTGTGCAGGTCCTCCATCCCAGGAGGTATGGATGAGCTCAGGAAACATATCACGGGTCCCGCAAGCAGTAGGGTAAGTACTGCACAGAGGACAGTTTGGGGAAAAACCAATATGTTCTTCATGTGTGCTGAGAAGCCCTGAGCCAGAAGTCTGGAGATCTGAATAGCCCCCCAAAGGAAGTGCTTCCCTCAAAGTATCTTTCTGCCAACACAAAATTAAAATAATAATTAGAACATACCCTGCTGCTGGGTGGCAGCATCCAGTACAAAAGACAGATCTGTGCTGAGGGCTCAGAAAAGAATCTGGTGACATTGCCTACTGATGTGGCGCCACCCTCTCTATGCACTAACAGTCAGGGCCTTGGGGTGTTTCTTGTCAGTAGTTCCTTTGGTCAGGGGAAGGTAGAAGAATATGGAAATAATACAGGATGTCCCAATCACTTGAAAGCACTTGACCTTGGACCCTATATGCCCAACCTCCAGCATTCCTTGTAGGCTCACAGGTGCCACTTCCAGCAGAAACACAGATCTGGAAAGTGTATCTTTCCCTGGTCTTTGTAAATAAGACCAAACAGTACTTGGGAACACTAGAGTTTAACGTACAATCTTGCTGTACCATCTTTACAAATACAGAGGAGGGCCTAGAAGGAATGGGCACTCTGTTCACCCAAGTGTCACAGAGTCCACTGTGCTCAGGGGAGTTCTGCACACCTCCCGGTTGCCATTGGCCAAGGTCCTTCAGTGTAAAACTGACAGATGTTTCAGAACCATGGCTGGTATTTAAGAAGAGCCTTCACACCGATGGCACTATGGCAAACCCAGGGAAGGTATCATGCTTGGACTCTAATCTGACAGCACTGGGGCTCTTGGCCAATTTGGTATATCATCTGAACATCATCCTGGGGCCGATGCTGAGTGAATAAAGGACTTGGCTTACAAGCAGGAAGAACCTAGAGTTTGATCTTCAGAACACTTGTAAAAAGCCAGACATGGTGGTGCTTACTTGTAATCCTAGCCCCAAGGAGGCAGACACTGGATGAGCTCTGGGGCTACTGCCTAACTAGCCTCACCTAATCAGTGAACCCCAGGTCTCAGTGAGAGACCCTGTCGCAAAACACAAGCTCTTGTGGAATGAGACCTGAGGTTAACCTCTGGCATCTATGGGCACACACACACACACACACACACACACCCCACACACATGCGTGCAAATTTCACACACAAAAATACTAACTATCACACAACTTAGTTTTTACTACTAAAAGAATGTCTCTGGCCAACATGTCCTTAAATGCCAGCAATACCAGATACAAATGTTGTCCTATTTACTGGCTAGAATGTGTCTGATGTTCATCTTTGCTTATCATAATAACTGGCCTAACATAATAACTGACCATCAAAATATTTTCAGTTGTAGCAAAATATCAAAAATTTAAATTTACTATTCTAATTGAAATCCTATTTTTGACCTTACAAGATCAGCCCATGGTGAGGGGTGTGGAGGGGCACGTTCCCTCTCTGGCATCAGCAGCTGCTTGAAGGTAAAAGGATGTGCAGGAAGGAGACCCCAATGGGTACAGGCTTCCTGCGAGGCTGTGGCAAGAGCCTCACACAGATCAGAATTAAAACTAAGTAAAAAAAAGCCACTCTGAACTGCATGGCATTGAACATTCCTGTCTTTCCCCATCATTTCTATCTCAAACTCATGCATAACAAGTGTAAACTTTCAACTCTACACCACCAAATCCTTTCCCAGCTGAAGCAGCATCTTTTAACACTGAAAAGCCACTTCCCGAGAAGAGCAACAGTGTCAGAAGCAATCAGTTTGTAGGAAGCCTCATTGCTCACCAGGGGATGGTAGCAATAGTGTTCCCTCTACATGTGGCTAGAATTTACATTTGGAAATTGAATTGTCTCCTTGAGGGCTTTTACTCAATGCAAGTTTTGGGGAATTACTTACACCCCAGTACATCAGTGTATATAGAATGTAGCTGAGTTGAAGGAGCCCCCTTATCACTTCAGCTGTTAAACAAAAAACAAAAAACTTTCATTGTCCAGAAGAGAAAAGTCAAGAATTATTACTGAATGATACTCATCATTTTGAGTTTGACTTATCTTTAAGCATCTGGGGACATTTTTACAATGTTTTTGCATATTTGAATACTATCTTCATGATGGTATAGACATAGACACATCAGTCCCATGTCCACTTGAGAGACACACATTTTATTTTTTTCTTTTTTATATAATTTATTTTTTCTCAAACCGTAATTCATTCACACAGGGGTTATAAACACAGAAAGGCAGGACGTGGGGAAGGGAATGACACTGGAGTGTGGATGATCAGGAGGAATACAGATATCTTCAGAACCGGGTATCGGCTGGGTGAAGGTTCAGGGGACAAGTGACTATGACTCTGCCTGTGACTCGCTTCTCCTTATTTAAATTGGTATTGTCTGCCCAGGCTACCTATTTACAAGGTCTATGACTACTCAGGCTTGTAAATTTCCACCAAAAGCTGCCTGTTTACATTAGCTTATAGCCATCTGTTTCAATGTTTTTCCACTGAGACCCAAGACTTGGTGTTAGTATACATGTCTGACAGGCCTATTGCTGATTTTAGGCCTATGGCTGATTTTAGGCCTTCAGTGTATAAGCAGGGCTGCCCCTGACATCTCCTCCCTTCTCTAAGTATAGAAGGGCTGTGGCAATTCTAATCTTTTTAAGGCAGGGATAGAGGCCTGACCTCCAGTAATTGAAGGGGACTTTGTAATGGCTCTGGTACCCCTGTCGTTGTCCAATGAGGCATGAGGGCCATACCCATCCAGAGGTCTTTTTCCTGGAGAGGGGATACTTTTGACATCAACCCCTATGCAGTCAGGCTTGTCCCTCAGGGAACCCAGATAGATATTTTTATCTTTTATTTGTATTCCCTTGCAGTGCTTAGCCTCGCAGCCTAAGCAAGAATTCAGATCGCCTGACAGAGGGGGTTCTGGGTGGCCCCTCTCTGCTTGGTCTAGGGGCAGAAGTCCCCGCTTTCAGGTTGGGTAGAGATGGGTTTTGGGAACACCCTGTATAAAGTAACAACCTCATCTTGAGTCTCGT